ATGGTTCATGGGGTCACGAAGAGTTGGACACGACTTAACGACTAAACAACAACAACAAATTCCTTATCACAAACATCCCGTAGCAACCGAGGCGTCTGCCTTGGAGGAGGACGTGCTCCTCCTGGTGTTTGGCACCTTGGACCGACTGGCCGTTGTTTCCCTTGTGGATAGCGGAGAGAGAGAGGGGCAGAAAGTAACTTGAGATCTTTCTTACTTATGCACGCCTGCATCATCACATGCATACGTATGCACCATCATTCTTCCCTTCCCCTTTCCTGAAATGTGCAAATAGCAGAGCATCTCTTTTGTTTGCAGGGGGTGTCTCCCACTAACCCTTGGTGGGGTCCCCTCCAGCACGTACCGCTTAATAAACACTGCAGCGAAGCCTTGATTATTTTGCAGCTGGGTCCTGTGTTTTGATTCCACAAGCGTATGCCTTTTAATAAAATTAGTTAGTTGGAAAAGCTCCCCTCTTGACCCTGCCTGTCTTGAGATCCCTCCAGAGCCATTTATGTCTCTCCAGTTGGGGTCCCTGGATCACATAAGAAAGACAAGTGCCCAGAAAAAATGGGGAGACTCACGCAGCTTCCTTCCTCAGTTCAGTGAACTTCACCCTGCAAGGCAGAATAGAGCAGGGGGTGGGACAGGGGACCTCTGAGATACCTTCCAACTCTAGGATTCTATGACCCCTTGGCTATGGGACCCCCAAACAGATAGGCTGCTGCTGCTGTGGCCGAGGGTCGCTCCCCTCTGCCTGAGCACAGGAGGATCCGAGCCCGAAGGTGCAGCTCCAGAGGGGAGCAGGCCTTCTCCGGAGCTTTTCCAAATCCTGGTGCACCCTTTTTATTCAAGGACCCAGCAGAAATGTCCAGTTGCTATTTAAAAGAAAAAAAGGGACAGACCCAAACCTGGATGAAAACTTCACAGGCAGAGTTGCCTAAACTCACCTGCAACCTTAACCTTTGAGAGTATTTTCAAGAAATTCCCCTGGGGTTCCTAGTCAGCTGTACCAGCATGGAGATTTGGGGGAGCAAGTGATATCATATGCATCATGACGTCATTGTGCCAGTGAGGCAAATGACATCATTCATCTCATTTGTGCAATGACAGCATGAGCACATACAGCCCTTATAGGAAAAACCAGCTTCACCTAACAGAGGTTAGGTGAAAAACTCTTTCCAAGGTAAGACGTTCCCA